TGACAGAGTGCTAGTGAGGACTCTGAGCAGCGATGGACACACACAGGTCCAGTTTGTGAAAGGAGGGTATCTATTTCTCTCACATGCCTTTAAAATAGACTGGTCATGGGCATGCCCACAACACACACCACCAGCAGCTGTGCTTGGACACTTCCCCTCTCGGATATTGTGGCTATATAGTCCTTGACACATATACCGTACACATGCAAATGCACACACTCTTTCATTCAACCTTGATTCTTCAGTGATACTTCACACTGTGTTTCTACGAAATACATTCTCACACTTAATTCAGCAAAGACAAAACGTTCAGAAGAAACCTGAGGAAGTTGCTTTGCATAGTCTGGAAGCAGATTTCAAAAGAAAACAGCCCTTTCATATGGGTTGTCCTGCTGTGTAGATTGATTTTTAATTTGTAACGTTCCTTCAGAAAGCTCTGTTGCTGATTGGCTGAGAAGTTCAAACCAAAAAATGCTTATTCTGTGAGTGGCCCACCACAAACTGAGCAACACCAATTGTCTGCCAAAGAGAAAACCGAGGGTTTTTCTCCTCATTTTACTAGTTGGACCACTTCCAAAAATAAAACCACTCACTATACACGTCAAACTATAAAACAAAATGATGTTTCAGCTCTCACTAAACCCTTAGTGCCACGATTTGGGTCACAAACCACAATGGAAGGATTACACAATCCACCTGAGTGCATGCTGATTCATAAAAACAGAGTTTTGACTCATTTGGTGACTTACTATTCAACATTTAATTGGCACTAAGCGTTAAGCAATTTAGATAAACATCCTGTCCCGATAAATGCCATGGACGGCATCCAAAATCCTAACAGTGATTTTCCTGTACACACACCACTGTAGCTTAATTGCACCCAAATCATGAGGGAAACATCTATTTAATTACACCCTGAATGTCAGTGATTGCTCTTTATGCTTTGTGACCTTATACAAGGACTTTCTCACAGAAACACACTCAACACCAGCAAATTATGACTGTTAGCAGCACATCCTCACCCTAATATCATGCTCAAGTGTCCTGATAAGCTCCCCGTCCACTTGTCCCGTCTGGGCTACACACAGACTGCGTCTCTCTGCTTTCCTAAGTCGGTACTGCAGGATGCGACAGGCCTTGTTGGCCTGTTCCAGCTGCTGTCGGAGTTCCTGCAGCTGGTAAACATCCTCCTCCATGTACATGTCCCTCATCTCTAGCATCTCTGAGCGGAGCTCCTCCATTTCATCCTAAAAATGCAGTCATAAATGGTGTATGTAAACATCAACTTCATAGAACTGAATCATACTGTATGTGGCAGCATTACAGCCACCGTAACTGTCTTAGAAACTTTTTGGAAGTTTTTGATTGGAAAACATGAGATAAATGAATGCATTTTACTTTAGTCGAAAGCATTTGTGTGTTAGTGTGTACAAAGGGTGTTTCCTATATCACGATCAATGTCAGTCTTCAACCAACTCATCCATGACAGCACTGCACTGGCCTTACGTGTTGAGAACCAGCATGCTGTGCGCATTAACCCACAGAACTAGTGGCACGTGCCAAGAATGACGCACTGCCCTTCTTGGATGCATTGGTGGCACCTCTGTTGACTTCTTGATTTCTACTGAGACACCTTGCACTTAATCACAGTAAAGCTTGTCTCGTTCTCACTGTGAACCCGTCCTTCTATTGCATGTCAGAGACAATGAGGGATGACAAGAGCCAATTAGCGAAAGTGTAATCTTCTAAGAAGAGAGTAAATCTTACAGTATAAGCCAGATCACGTGCAGTTTATTTTGACTGTTAAAAATGTATTGTACATGTAGCAGACAATGTGTTATTGTTTTAATTTAATTTTACATTAAGTACATTGTCCATCACATCATATGACATGGTTTATGCCATGTTAGCTGATAATAGTCTGATGCTTAATAATCATAATCCATCAAAACAGGTTGCATTTAGTACTCTCCTACTCTATCTAACATTATCTACTTAAAACAGACTCTCACAAATAATTAAAAGCAATTATACAACAATAAATTGTTTTGGTAATTGAATTCAGACATATTTTAAAAACTACAATGTTTATGTTTCAGAAGAGCGTTTTCACTTGGTGGATTTTCCATATGCACTCATTGAGATCAGTCAGATGCTTGATCATGCCCACTATGATGGTGTCAAGACGAAATAAAACATGTTCATAATGATGACAAAAGACCCGTATGGCAATTATAAATGACTTGCATATTTAAAGAGCAAATATGAAATGTGTCCCACTTTACCTGAACTCTCCCAAGCTTAATTTACACCATTTATACCATGCAATAAATTATTATTTGCAAATTAATTAACAATCAATTAAATGAATTAATAGAGTAATCAACAAATCTCACCTTTAAATATTCATTTTCCGATCTTAGGTCGTCAATCTCTCTCAGCAGATCCTCATGCACCCCATCAGCAAAGTCTCCAGTCAGATCCGAAAATGCCACAGACGCGCTCAAATTCAAGCGACTGTCCAGAGAAACGTAGGATCTCTGGTCTCCAGGAGAGATGCTTCCCTCTCCGAAGCCAAACCCTGGAGACAGGTTGGCATTAATCAGACCATCGTCTTCTCTGTGTTCTGATATTTGCTCCGCTGAATCGTCCATCATCTCTTCGTTGGGACCTCTGTGACAGACCTCACCACACTGGGCAACAGTGGACTGCTTATGCTCCTCTGATGCGTCCGAGATCTCAGAGCTGCTGTCCGTGGAAGACAGTTTCCCGGTAACGCAGCCAGAGTCCTTACTCAGGTCATCAGACGTGATGCTTCCATCCGACAGCTTTCTCCTCCCGCACGATTTACTGCGATTGCTATCGGAACGTTTTCTCGACTCTGGTTTCATCTCTTTTTTCCCCGTGTGGATGTTTGGCGTGACAGATGCTCCACGCGTTGGTTTCTTCGAGTGAAGCTCTTTGGCTTTGCTCTGTGAGGCTGCTGGGATGATTTTAGACCAAGTGTCCGCCTAAGCTTGTTTTGACGTCATGTGTTGCACATGATGCCGGTGGATTTGTCTCGTCGGCTGCTGGCTGCTCGCGTCTCCGCAGGCTTTTTCCTGCCCGGGTCCATGATGGGATGAGCGTGAATTAGACTCAGGATTTGCCTCAACTTTTGTCTTTGTCATTGTTGGCGTTCAAAGATTATAATTTCCTATGGTTCCTATGGTGAATTTCATTCACCTTACATTGTTTTTACAAACAAAGACGACTAATGGTCAGTAATGAGATGACTGATCCCAGCAGAATCCTCTCAAGAGTTTGTGTGAGACGAGATAAAGTTAAGGTAAATCCGGGTAAAGCCGTTAGTCTAGTGTTTGAGTGAATAACTGTACTGTGTGTGGCCATGTGCTTTAAAAACTCGGAAATCTCCGCCCCAAAAGGAGCTTTTCTCTCTCTCTTTCACTCACTCTGAGTCACAGATAACTCAGCTTTACTGGCATTATAACGAACAGCTATAATAGTGCCAAACCAATGTTTTACTAGCATAACATTTTAGTGTTTTCCTCCCGAACACCCATGCATATATGTTTTTAAATATTAATTTAGTAATCGGCTATTTTTCTTATTTATTAGGCTAATTCATATGATGGCCTTATTTTAACACACTTATGACTGAAATCGGTAACAGTGTCTGTATTATTCACTCATAAAATCTAATAAGTTTTTTTATTCATAGCTAATTTCTAAATATAGGTTTATACACTGGTTTCAAAAAGAAAAGAGTTTATCAAAACTCACGCTTCTCAATGACACGGAGCTGAAACTATTATACTATAACATTGCACCGCTGACATCTAGTGGCTTCAAATGAAACTAAAGGAAATATCAGGAAATATCTCAACAATAGCTAAACTAAAAGCAGAAACTAGTCAAACGCACTGTAATCGGCATCATTTATTCATGCCGCGGTGCATAGCTGAGAAATTGAATACCGGATATATGCAAATTCTCAGGCTTGCTAAAAAATTATATTTTGTAGAGAAACGCTAAAATAAAAAATACCGTTAAAAAAAGAGAGGAGGAAATCAGAAGACGAAAATAGTAATTAATCTGCAGGCTAACTTAAATTTTTATGTGTTATTTGTTATTTATATTTGTATATTTTGATGTATTTTTGACCTATTTAAATGTATACATTTATTTATGTTTTTGTTAGATTGTTTAAAACAATTAGTTTTCATTTTCCCTCAAACTGCACCTGTTTTTCGCTTGTTCTTTCATTCTATCTTGCACATAGTTTTTCACCAGTTTCTTGCTGCACTAAATAAACATTTTAACATTTACATACAGTTATGTGGGTAGTTTACATTATATATTTTTTACCTTATTTTATTGAAGTTACTGCATATTTTACATGGTTTGAACTGCATAAAAAGGCTATGTGATTAAAAGCATATTGAAAGCAAATACTTTCTTTTTAAACCAAGAAATTATTTGTTACATTAATTGGGCCTAATTTATTTTCATGCTCTTGTCTAAGGCCCTTACAAACCCCTGGCACTGTTTCACAGCACAAATAAGAATATAAAATATGAAATGAAGCTGTAAAATATCTGTCTATTTGTGAAATCATATAGGTCTAATATTCTCTAGCTTCTTACTGTTTTTTTCTTATTCACATCCTAAAATCAATGCATTGTCAAGGATTTCTTTATATCTATTCCTGGTCAGCAGTCATATTCAATCAAGGAGCGCCACTGCCATAGCCAACGGCGATATTTATTGTTAGGATTATAAATAACCCACATCCCTGCCTTTTTAGTACCGACCCCTTTATGTAACCTCAATATAACCCCGCCCCTTCGAAAGGTTAATATCGTGCGTTCGCAGAGGGGTCTTCTTTCACAATAGGCGACTACTTCTGTCAATCAAACGTCGCCCCGCCCATCTTCGTTTGTACCGCTGCCTTAACCCTCCAATCCAGTTTGTTCTCCCGTCCAGGCGAAATGTATCCGCCCCGCTGTCAGTCTTCCGAAACTGGGCGCTTATTTTCTGTCCCACCGGAGACAGGAGCGATTCAGCTTTACATTACTGAAAGGTAACGCGACACTCGCACAGTATACAGCCTGCTAAGTTTGATCGATGTTACATGTCGTTTTATTTCGTATCTTCCTGAATGTTTTGACGATATCAAACGGGTTTATGAGTAATATTCGGGTTTATTATTGGTCAATGCTCATTGCTAGCGGCTAACGCGGGTCAAAACAGCTCAAGCCAAACGCCCAGTGCCTTCCGCCCTTAGTAGATCTAGTTTGGAGATGCCGAGCGAGGCTGGTTATTCATAGTATCATATATGTTTGTATATCTAACGGGACATAACTTGAATGTCAGACTGCCCTCATGCACGGATGGCTAGACGTTGCGTTTAATATGGTGCTGCATGTGATCATATACTAAGCAGTGCTTTCTATGTCTTTTGAGTGATGTACTGAATCAGCTGATTGCCCTGTAGTTTTAATGGGTTTAATCTTCTCCACTGTTTTGACTGACACTCATTACGCCTGTGCATATGATGAAAGATGCTACCATGATCCATCTGTTAGTTGACAGCAGCACTAAGCAAAGATGTATCAAATTGATCAAAAGTGACAATAGATATATTTACGTGATTTTTTTTTCAAATAGACGCTGTTCTTTCTACTCATTAAAAATTCCTAAAAATATATATATATCAGTATTTACACAAAAACATTAATCAGCATAAATCAGCATATATATTAGAATGATTTCTGAAAGATCATGTGACACTGAAGACTGGAATGAAAATTTAGCTTTGCCATCACAGGAATAAATTAAATTTTAAAGCATAGTAAAACAGAAAACTTGTTTTAAATTGTAATAATATTGCATAATTTTTTTTATTACTGTTTTAACTATTTTGATTTTGATCAAATAAATGCAGCCTTGATGAGCATAAAAGACTTTCAGAAATCTTACTGACCCCAAACTATACTCACAAGTGACTCCAGTCTTCTAGACAAAGCAGCTTTATTGTACTGCTACTATTATTAATAAGAATATATTTAACGTAGTGCTTTTCGTCAGTTACGACTGTGAACCGGCAACTAACTGCTGTTAGTTAGTAAACTAACTTATGCATCCAGGTAAATATAAAGTCTAAAACTACTGATACAGTAGTTTCTTCAGGCACAACCACCAGGAACTGTGCCACTTTTTCTGAGAACCAGACACTTATGTGGTTGTCTTAGTCACCATTGATCTGTAGCGCTGTCATTTTCCAGTAAGTTGTATGACTAGTTTTCTCTGTTTATTGTAGTTATAACAGCCCATCACAGCCAAAAGACATCTATCCAACCATTCCCCTTAGCTGAAAGACTATAAGGTGTATTGTTTACATGATTATTTGGAAATATTTTTACTACATTAATTTCAGTTGAGCTACCTTGAATTTGTGTGGTTGCAAAACGACCAGGGCTACGTGCTGTTCATCCAGCCAAGACTTCCTCTATTGGCACTTTACCACATGGGTGTTTGCATATGTGATAGCTGTAAGCTTGTTAAGTGGCTGCTTTGCCTCTCTGAGTTCCAAATAATTTGCATGGTGCCCCCCACCTCTGTTATGTGGCCAATAGTTTTTTAAACTGCTTTGCATTTTGGTCATCCACAGCTGTATAATTGGCGGTATGAACAAGAGTTTTCCCTTTTAGCTCTCTATTTTTGTTTCTGTGTGTATGATGCTTATTTATCTGTCCGTTCTATTAATTTATTCAATAATAATATATTACAGTGCAATTCATGCAATGACTTGAATACCCCTTTGTAATGAGCATTTTTGAATTTTAAATTAAATCAAATTCAAATTAATTTTGTTTGTAATGTTTTATGGGGTGCATTGATATCAACATTCCTGATGATAAGGAAGAAAAAGCCTCATTAAAATAATGAAGTTCTTGAAAAGTGTTAAATATTTTGGCATAATTATTTTCCATTACTTCTTGAAGTTTTTATCAAAATATTTGAAAAACCTTTGTTTGTCATATGAAAGATAAAACCAACATGCAGAAAAAAAGGAAAATATGTTTGTAAAAACTATTTTACATGGTCATATTTTACATTGTTGCAAAAAATAATTAATTAAATATTAAATATAAAAAAATTTAATATAAAAAATATTTCAAATTAATGTTTTTCTTATGAACTGTCTAATATTTATAAAAAAAAATCCAGAAAAAAATGTATCATGTTTTCCACAAAAATATTAAGCAGCACAACTGTTTTCAGCATTGATACTAATAGTAATGAGTAATTTCTTCAACACCAATTCAGCATATCAGCATGATTTCTGAAGGATGATGTGACACTATTTCAGACTTATTACCGACCCCAAACTTTTGAACGGTAGTGTATACGATATTTGATTAAATGTATTTAATGTACTTTTATTGAAAATGGCAAAAAAGTTGTTAAAAACCATATAATTCCAACTTGAATACAAAGAGCACATTTATGAAAATTCTAAGAACTCTAAGAAATTACTTTAAAAACTCTTATATGTGCTACCAGGACATTTGCATCATAATTCCTGAATGGTATCTTTTCTTTAAAGGGGTCATATGATGCGATTTCAATTTCGCACGTCTATGTCACGATGTGGGAAGATTTGCATAACGCCGCAAAGGCGGGGCATAGAGGAGAAACAATAATGTACAGTGTGTGGAAAATAATGTGTTTTTTGAACCTTAAACCGCATAAACACATTTCATTACACCAAATACACAAAATAATGTTATTTTTAGCAACATCATATGACCCATTTAATTAAGCCAACATTGTGAATCAGTACAATCAGTTGCAGTAATGACAACCGGATGCTGACACGTTCTCTCTCTGCTATGAGCTGCCATTGGCCATTAAAGAATTAGCTTGTTCGGACACACTCATCAGATGGTTTTGCCAAGCACAGCTGTTTAAAGACTGCAGTGAGGTGATTGGATTTGTTCTGTGTGTTCAATAAGAGAATGGACAGAGAGCATAGGCCAGCATTAGTGTCCAGTATGTTCCAGGTTTATGGCATAGTAGTAGTCTACAGTACGTTAATGATTCATTTTTATAAGTTGGACTAATGACTTCCAGTTTTATATGTTTTTAATTTTCAAACCTACAATATTGTTCTCTGGTTTGATCTACAGAACACATTCAAACTGTGAAACAATGCCTTCTGATTGACATCAACAGCAGTAACTGTCCATCATGAACAGCGAGGAAGAGTTCTATGATGCTGAGACAGGTACGTGATGAAGTATAGTACTGTACATCACATTTTTATTGTCACCTATGGCTAAATCTCTCTTTTGTCTCAGGTTTAGAATCAGACGACTCATGTGAAGTCAGCTTTAAAGATGCCTGTGTCTATGAGAGCAAGCAGACAGTGAATGGCAAAGTGCCGTCTGAAAATGGAGTACGGGAGAGGCGGTAAGGAGTCTGAATAAAGTGAAATAATATTCAGAGGCAGGAAACAAAATGTGAAGATGTTTATATCCTTTGGACTGTGTAATGTTTTAATGTGTGTGTCTGTGTGTTCAGAACTACTCTGCCAGTGCCCATGTTCTCCAGAAATGACTTTAGTGTATGGGGCTTCCTGAAGAAATGCATTGGAATGGTGAGCACTAGCTACTTTGACCAAACAACAGCTTAGTCAAAAGAGCTCCATTCAAACACAGCATGAAATATGAAATTGTAAAAGAGACATGTTTTTTAGATTGTGGTGTCATTGTTCACATGCCAAGCCATTTCTATCTGGGAATACTGTCTCTTTGCAGGAGCTGTCCAAGATAACAATGCCTATTGTTTTCAACGAACCGCTGAGCTTCTTGCAGAGGATTACAGAATACATGGAACATACATACCTCATCCATAAAGCTTGTACACTTTCTGACTCTATAGAGCGTATGCAGGTTAGTGCCTCCAGGATTTCTGCAGGTCTTAAAAAGTCTTAATTGGCCCTTCCACAAATTAGTCCTAAATAAATAAAGTCATGGTGTTAAATGTTTTATACATCGCAAAAAAATGAATATCTTCCTCAGTATTTTTGTCTTGTTTTCCAATACAAATATCTTAACACCCTTAAATCAAGATACATTTATTTGAAATGCAAAATGAAGGTATGAGGTTTTCTGAGAACAAAATTAATCGAGTTAATGCTTAAAACAAGAACAAATATATTTCCATGGGATATTAAAACTTGTTTTCCCTTTAAATTAAGCTCATTTGCAGATATTTGTTTTTGTGTTAAACTTCATTTTGATCGATTTCTCAGAAAACAAGGCATCTTATCTTGTCATTTTGCTTCACAATGCATCTATTGTGATCTTTTGCACTGGAAAACGACAGAAATATTGAGGAAGAACATCACTTTTTTGCAGTGTGATCAGAAGGTACAGTAAAAGTTATTTGCATTATTTCTAGTTAAGACAATTTTTATGCACAATTAATTAAAAACATATTTAATTGGTCTTGAAAAAATCATAAATGTACCTTCATAAATCCTGCAGAAACCTTGCCTCATTTATATTTTACTTCCACACGTGTGCATGCATGGAAGATTCAACAAATCCTTATTACGCAATTGCATCTCATTTGTCAGCTTGTTGCCGCATTCGCCGTTTCTGCTGTTGCATCGCAATGGGACAGAACTGGAAAACCTTTTAACCCTTTATTAGGAGAGACTTTTGAACTCACACGGTAAATCTAACTAACATTTGGACACAAACGCTATACATCATCTACTACAAAGCTGAATATGTAAATCCAAATTAGCCTGCACCAATAATTTGTAATATCTGTGCTCAGGGATGAAGAGGGTTACCACATGATCTCAGAACAAGTGAGCCACCATCCACCAATCAGCGCCTTCTACTCAGAGTCACTCAATCAGGACTTCTCGTTTCACGGCTCCATCTACCCTAAACTAAAATTCTGGGGGAAGAGTGTGGAGGCAGAGCCTAAAGGCACCATGACACTTGAGCTCTCCAAGTGAGTTTTATTTATGTGACCTCACTAAGTATAATATGATCACTTTTTATTGGAGCTGGAGAGTCATTGAGATCCTCAAGTACAATCGGACCCTTGAGCAAGGCAGTAACTTTTCCTGGCCCTTAGTATAATGTAACTTGCTTTGGAAAGCATCATCTGCTAGATAAGTAACATACTGGAATGTCCATTTATTATTTAGCATGTTTCGTATGTGTATTGAAGAGATTTTGGGCATTAGTTATGGCTGAGCTATTTTTGAATTCTTCTCTCTCTCTCTCTCAGGCATAGAGAAGCTTACACATGGACGAACCCTATGTGCTGTGTGCATAACGTTATTCTGGGTAAACTGTGGATTGAGCAGTATGGGACAGTGGAGATTGTCAACCACAGGTATTTCATCTCTTTCCTTTCTGACACTAAATATTCTGCCTGCGTAAAACCTTTTTCAGCATTTAAATATTGTTTTTGTAAAGGCTATTGTGTGATCTTTCCATGTCACATTGTGGATTAATGTTCACTCATTCCCTTATTTTTGACTGAGAACTCTCTCTATTCATTTTAGCACTGGGGACAAGTGTGTGCTGAATTTTAAGCCATGCGGCATGTTTGGCAAAGAGCTGCATAGGGTAGAGGGACATATCCAGGACAAGAGGTGAGCAGTCATTCGTATCAAATGTCAGTGGGTATATCTGGCTCCCAGCCTGTAGAGTTCACTCTGCACATCCACTCCGTGTCTGGAGCACTAAAGGCATCAGCAGTGTCTTTTACAGCTGGATTGTGTGTGTACTTTTACTTTACTGGATTTGATGCTTGTGTTCATGACTCATTTTGTCTGGGTGTATTTCAGTAAAAAGAAGCATCAGGTTATCTATGGGAAGTGGACTGAGTGTGTATATAGCATTGAACCAAAAGTCTATGAAGTCAACAAGAAAGCAGAGAAGAAAAGCGGAGAAGATTCCAAGAAGCACAAGCAGGTAAAAAGCGTTAGTCATTTATCTCTTACTGCAGAGCCGTGATCTATTTTCTGTTGTGTTTTCACATGGAAGTCCAAAAGGGCTCTCACGCATCCTCAAATAGAGGCTCCACCACTTATTACAATAGAGACTGTTTGCAAACTCTTAGAAGTGAGAACTATGCCAACTGAAAAAGTTTCAAGATCTTTACTGAAGTATAGAAGAAATATCAACTAGAGCAAATTCTTTCCATTGTGTAATATTGCGTTCCATTGCGTTTTAATGTGACTACACAAACCGACTCCTCGTTCAGATTTGTTTTGTGATATATTTTTTAATTTATTTATTTCAATAGAATACTTATTAATTATCGGCTTCTCTTCAAATGTTTAGTGTCTAGGATTTTTGAATGATTTTGAAAGAGGTCTCTTATACTCACCTGCATTTATTTGACCAAAAATACAATAAAAACAGTAATTATGTGAAATATTGTTAAAATGTAATGCAACTTTTCTATTTGAGTCTGTTTTAAAGTTTTATTTATTCCTGTGATGGCAAAGCTGGGTTTTCAGCAGTCATAACTCCAGTCTTCAGTGTGACGTTCCTCCAGAAATCATTCTAATATGCTGATTCGGTGCTCAGAAAACATTTATTATTATTATTATCAATGTTGTAAACAGTTATCTTTGTGGAAACTGTGATACATTGTTTTCAGGATTCTTCGACGAATGGAAAGGTGAAAGGAATAGCATTATTAGAAATCTTTTGTAACATTATAAATGTCTTTACTGTCATCTTTGATCAATTTATTGCAAAAAAAAAAAAAAGTACTGACCCCAAACTTTTGAACGATAGTGTAATTGAAAAATAAAATGTAATTAAAATTATCTGCAGTGTGTTTGCTGGAAATCAATGTTTGTTTCCCTTCTTTGTATTAACATGCAATTTCAATGAGAAGTACAGTCCCTGAGCCACCATCATAGTAGAGTGTTAGTAGTTTTCTTAGTCTATTTGCTTCCTGATCTTGCTTTATCTGTAGTGTTTAATGGTTTTCATATGAATGTGAGGCATTATGAGGCATAAATGGTAGTACTGTATGCATGTGATTAGGAGCAGAGTACAGTGGGTGATGATGCAGATGAAATGCCAGATGTCCAGGAAACAGTTACTATGATCCCAGGCAGTACGCTGCTATGGAGAGTAGCCCCTCGACCGCCACACTCGACACAGGTAACCCCAAGCCCCCAATGACTCCAACATCTGTCTTGGGTGATTACATGTTATGCATATTCTCACTTTACTTTTTTTTTCCTCGATTCTGTTTAGATGTATAACTTTACTAACTTTGCCATGACGCTTAATGAGCTGGAGCCTGGCACGATTGGAGTCATAGCACCAACAGACTGTCGTTTGCGGCCTGACATCAGAGCTATGGAGAATGGGGATATCGGTATGCATATCTCTCTTTTGGCCCGTTCTGTTACCATCTGTCCAGTAAGCTCTTCTGGATGATGCTGCACTTATTTTACCCCTAAATTTAAAAGCTATTCTTAAATTCCAGATACTGCAAGTCAAGAGAAGGAGAGATTGGAAGAGAAGCAGAGAGTTGCCAGAAGAGAGCGTGCTAAAGACGAGGAAGAATGGTCTACGAGGCGAGTATTTGAATTAAGAGCACAACCTTCCACTTTTTTACTGGCCTGTGTTCCTCATTTTGTATATTCTCATTCCTTTCACATTTAGAAGTACTTTATTTTATTTTTTTAATATTTTTATTGCATTTTAATTATATACATTTACATATAAATGTCCATGTAGCAAAGAGAACAAGAACGAAAAATCTCCAAGTGGGGGAGAAAAAAAAAAACTTCTATCAACACATTTCCAACTCCACGACATTTTATGAAACACGTTTAGAAATATTTTAGATCTGTTTTGATTTTGTTCGACCATAGACCGTATAAAAACATGGACGTAGTGTCCGTGATGTCACCAGTAGGTTTCTGAAGAGCGTTTTTGAAGCTCAAAGTGGGCGGAGC